TATATCTATTATATCTCGTATTAAAAAGAATACTTTAAGCTTTAATTTGGTGTATAAATAATTTTATAATTCCCACAATTAAAGCAGATATGATTTTTTTAATTTAAATTAGTTTAAAATTTATTCAATTTAACCCTTTTGTGCAACATTTTCTTAAAATCACCGTATCTCCAAAATTTTTATATCTGACTATATATTTATTATGAGTGATTTTAAAGATAATACTTTAAGCTTTAATTCAAAGTATAAATGATTTTATAACTCCCACAATTAAAGCAGATATGACTTTTTGAATTTGAGTTAGTTTTAAATGTATTCATCAAAACATTTATGTGCAATTTTTTTTTAAATCACCGTATCTCCAAAATTTTTATATCTAACTATATATTTATTATATGTCGTTTTAAAGAGAATTCTTTAAGCTTTAATCTAATGTATAAATCATTTTACAACTTCCACAATTAAGGCAGATATGATTTTTTGAAATTGAGTTAATTAAAATTGATTCAACCTTACTTCTTTGTATAGCATTTTCTTAAAATGATCGTATCTCCGAAATTTTTATATCTATCTATATATTTATTATATATCATTTTAAAGAGAACACTTTAAGCTTTAATTTAAAGTATGAATCATTTTATAACTCCCACAATTAAAGCAGATATGATTTTTTGAAATTGAGTTAATTAAAATTTATTCAACCTTACTTCTTTGTATAGCATTTTCTTAAAATGATCATATCTCCGAAATTTTTATATCTATCTATATATTTATTATATATTATTTTAAAGAGAATACTTTAAGCTTTAATTTAATGTATAAATCAATTTATAACCCCCACAATTAAAGCAGATATGATTTTTTGAATTTGAGCTAGTTCAAAATTTATTCAACTCAACCCTTTGTGCAACATTTGCTTAAAATCACCGTCTCTCCAAAATTTTTGTATCTATCTATATATTTATGATATATCATTTTAAACAGAATACTTTAAGCTTTAATTTAAAGTATAAACCATTTAATAACTCCCACAATTAAAGCAGATATGATTTTTTGAATGTGAGTTAGTTTTAAATCTATTCATCAAAACCTTTATGTACAACTTTTTTTTTAAATCACTGTATCTGAAAATTTTTTATATCTAACTATATATTTCTTAGAAGTAGTTTTAAAGATAATACTTTAAGCTTTAATTTAAAGTATAAATCATTTTATAACTCCCACAATTAAGGCAGAATGATTTTTTGAATTTGAATCGGTTTTAATCTATTCATCAAAACATTTATGTGCAACCTTTTTTTAAAATCACCGTATCTCTAAATTTTTTATATCTATCTATATAATTATTATATATCGTTTTAAAGAGAACACTTTAAGCTTTAATTTAAAGTATAAATTATTTTATAACTCCCACAATTAGAGGAGATATGATTTTTTGAATTTGAGTTAGATAAAAATCTATTCATCACCTTTTTGTGCAACCTTTTTTTCAAATCACTGTATCTCCAAAATTTTTATATCCAACTATATATTTATTATATGTCGTTTTAAAGAGAATACTTTAAGGTCTAATTTAAAGTATAAATCATTTTATAATTCCCACAATTAAGGCAAATATGATTTTTTGAAATTGAGCTGATCAAAATTTATTCAACTTAACCTCGTTGTACAATATTTCCTTAAAATCACCGTATCTCCGAAATTTTTATGTCTATCTATATAATTATTATATATCGTTTTAAAGAGAATACTTTAAGCTTTAATTTAAAGTATAAATTATTTTATAACTCCCACAATTAGAGGAGATATGATTTTTTGAATTTGAGTTAGATAAAAATCTATTTATCACCTTTTTGTGCAACCTTTTTTTCAAATCACTGTATCTCCAAAATTTTTATATCCAACTATATATTTATGATATGTCGTTTTAAAGATAATACTTTAAGCTATAATTTAAAGTATAAATTATTTTATAACTCCCACAATTAGAGGAGATATGATTTTTTGAATTTGAGTTAGATAAAAATCTATTTATCACCTTTTTGTGCAACCTTTTTTTCAAATCACTGTATCTCCAAAATTTTTATATCCAACTATATATTTATGATATGTCGTTTTAAAGATAATACTTTAAGCTATAATTTAAAGTATAAATTATTTTATAACTCCCACAATTAGAGGAGATATGATTTTTTGAATTTGAGTTAGATAAAAATCTATTTATCACCTTTTTGTGCAACCTTTTTTTCAAATCACTGTATCTCCAAAATTTTTATATCCAACTATATATTTATGATATGTCGTTTTAAAGAGAATTCTTTAAGCTATAATTTAAAGTATAAATCATTTTATAACTCCCACAATTAAAGCAGATATGTTTTTTTGAATTTGAGTTAGTTTTAAATCTATTCATCAAAACATGTATGTGTAATTTCTTTTTAAATCACCGTATCTCCAAAATTTTTATATCTAACTATATATTTATTATATGTTGTTTTAAACAGAATACATTAAGCTTTAATTTAAAGTATAAATCATTTTATAACTCCCACAATTAAAGTAGATATGATTTTTTGAATTTGAGTTAGTTAAAAATCTATTCATCGCAACCTTTTTCTACAACCTTTTCTTAAAATCAACGTATCTCTAAAATGTTTATATCTAACTATATATTTATTATATGTTGTTTTAAAGAGAATACTTTATGCTTTAATTTAAAGTATAAATCATTTTGTTACTCAAACAATTAAAGAAAATATGATTTTTTGAATTTGAATTAGTTGAAAATCTATTCATCACAACCTTTTTTTAAAATCACCGTATCTCCAAAATTTTTATATCCAACTATATATTTATTATATGTCGTTTTAAAAAGAATACTTTAAGCTTCAATTTAAAGTAAAAATTATTTTATAACTCCCACAATTAGAGCAGATATGATTTTTTGAAGTTAAGTTAGATAAAAATGTATTCATCACCTTTTTGTGCAACCTTTTTTTAAAATCACCGTATCTCCAAAATTTTTATATCCAACTATATATTTATGATATGTCGTTTTAAAGAGTATACTTTAAGCTTTATTTTAAAGTATAAATCATTTTATAATTCCCACAATTAAAGCAGATATGATTTTTTGAATTTGAGTTAGTTTTAAATCTATTCATCAAAACATTTATGTGCATTTTTTTTTTAATCACCGTATCTCCAAAATTTCTATATCCAACTATATATTTATTATATGTCGTTTTAAAGAGAATACTTTAAGCTTTAATTTAAAGTATGTATCAGTTTATAACTCCCACAATTAAGGCAAATATGATTTTTTGAATTTGAGTTAGATAAAAATCTATTTATCACCTTTTTGTGCAACCTTTTTTTCAAATCACCGTATCTCCAAAATTTTTATATGCAACTATATAATTATTATATATCGTTTTAAAGAGAATACTTTAAGCTTTAATTTAAAGTATAAATTATTTTATAACTCCCACAATTAGAGGAGATATGATTTTTTGAATTTGAGTTAGATAAAAATCTATTCATCACCTTTTTGTGCAACCTTTTTTTTAAATCACCGTATCTCCAAAATTTTTATATCCAACTATATATTTATTATATGTCGTTTTAAAGAGAATACTTTAAGGTCTAATTTAAAGTATAAATCATTTTATAATTCCCACAATTAAGGCAAATATAATTTTTTTAAATTGTGCTGATCAAAATTTATTCAACTTAACCTCGTTGTACAATATTTCCTTAAAATCACCGTATCTCCGAAATTTTTATGTCTATCTATATAATTATTATATATCGTTTTAAAGAGAATACTTTAAGCTTTAATTTAAAGTATAAATTATTTTATAACTCCCACAATTAGAGGAGATATGATTTTTTGAATTTGAGTTAGATAAAAATCTATTTATCACCTTTTTGTGCAACCTTTTTTTCAAATCACTGTATCTCCAAAATTTTTATATCCAACTATATATTTATGATATGTCGTTTTAAAGAGAATACTTTAAGGTCTAATTTAAAGTATAAATCATTTTATAATTCCCACAATTAAGGCAAATATAATTTTTTTAAATTGTGCTGATCAAAATTTATTCAACTTAACCTCGTTGTACAATATTTCCTTAAAATCACCGTATCTCCGAAATTTTTATGTCTATCTATATAATTATTATATATCGTTTTAAAGAGAATACTTTGAGCTTTAATTTAAAGTATAAATCATTTTATAACTACCACAATTAAGGCAGATATGATTTTTTGAATATGAATCGGTTTTAATCTATTCATCAAAACCTTTATGTGCAACCTTTTTTTAAAATCACCGTATCTCCAAAATTTTTATGTCTAACTATATATTTATTATATGTCGTTTTAAAGAGAATACTTTAAGCTCTAATTTAAAGTATAAATCATTTTATAACTCCCACAATTAGAGCAGATATGATTTTTTGAATTTAAGTTAGATAAAAATCATCACCTTTTTGTGCAACCTTTTTTTAAAATCTTCATGTTTTAAACATTTTTATATCTAACTATATATTTATTATAAGTCTTTTAAAAGACAATACTTTAAGCTTTAATTTAAAGTATATATCATTTTATAACTCCCACAATTAAGGCAGATACGATTTTTTGAATTTGAGTTACTTCAAAATTTTTTCAACTCAACCTTATTATGAAACATTTTCTTAAAATCACCGTATCTCCGAAACTTTAATATTTATCTATATATTTATTATATATCGTTTTAAAGACAATGCTTTAAGCATTTATTTAAAGTATATATCATTTCATTACTCTAAAAATTAAAGCAGATGTGATTATTTGAAGTTGGGAAAATCAACATCAATCAAAAAACAATTTATATGGTTTAAAAACAATTTATCAAAAGAACATCAATAATTTCGCATTAAACAACAAACACAAATTGCATGAAGAACTTAAATACATAAAATACTTTTAAATAAATTCAAAATTGACGACAGGCGTGTTTCAATCGTTGGTTTTGCAGGTCGCACTGCCAATTTAGACGTGAAGGAAGTGGCTCGTCAGAACCGGATAACCGAGCAAATCCTGCAGAGTTTCCTTGAAAAAAGACTGTTGAAAAACCAACGAACGAAACCGCCGAGCGTCTGGGAGATTCTACCGAAAGCCAACAACAAACAAGATTCAATGAAACCGATTCAAACAACCACAACGACGACGACTACAGAAAATTCGGACATCCTTATTCAAAACGATACCGGTTCGAACACGTTTCCATCAGATACGCCACCGGAAACCCTACAATTTGTTGAATCAGAACAAATTTCGTCGGTTTATGATCAAGATAATTACTTAGACAGCGTTTTCTATGAAGGAAAGTGTTTAAAAAAATTAAAAATGACTCAAAACACGATTTATCGATTATCAATCGTGTTTTGAGTCATTTTAAAGATTTACTTAATTCCCTTTAGAATTAGATCATTCTAATTACATCAAAGGAATGCATCTAATTGAATTTGTTAATGAAATAGCGAGATGCTGTTAAAACTGTTATTACAGTTACGCTCGTAGTAAATTGCACAAGGTTAAGATCGATTTGCATGTAAATATTGCGTGTACGTGTATTTATGTGTTGTGTGATTTTATTATTCGTCTTTGGTTATGAAATGACACATTCCATTATGTATTTATGCGGATTAAATATTCTAACGGGTCACAATCATTAAAACCGCTATTAAACGGTTTAATTGATGTTTTTGAACGGAATCTATCTAAATTTTTTTTTATCTCAACAATCATCCAACGTTTTTGAAGGTTTTTTTTAAAACTTTTATTGATAGTGATAAACGGGGTTTTTGTGAAGAATATAATTTGAATGTCAAGGTATAACATTATTGGTTAAAATCAATTAAAATGTGGAAATTTTATGATTTCAACCTTGGATTTAACGAAAAAAGCTTTTTGACAAATTAGTTTATGGTTGCTTTAATTTGCTTTTCGAATTTAATGATAAACTTAATGTATTTAAATAAATTCTTAATTAGCTCCAATAAAATTAACGTGTGTTAACCAACAAATTAAACTTAAGTAACGATTTAATTTTCGATGTTTTCGGGTTAAATGCTTATTATTCAATGTTGCTTAAGAATAAACGTTCTATTGCTGCCCACATTCTAAGATTGTCATCAAATGTCAAAACAACGATTTTTTATAATTTATACATAATGACTTGTTTACCAAAGAAATACCACAACATTGATCACCTTAGAAGCTTATAATTTGGCATAATGTAACCTCAAACGTTACTTTCTAACTTCAAATAGTTTCACATCTTTATTACTAACCGTTGTGGAGAAAATAATTTTTTGCAGTAATTATATTTTTATCAAATGTCAAATCAGTGATTTTTAAAAATTTATATATAAAGAATTGCTCACCCTGGAAACTTATAATATGGCATAATCTAACCTCGAACGTTCCTTTATAACCTCAAAAAGTTTCGCTTCTCTATTCCTTACAGTTGTTGAGAAAATAATTTTTTTCCTTAATTACAATATCTTCAAATGTCAAACCAGTAATTTTTAAAAATGTATATATAACGAATTAATCACCCTAAAAGCTTATAATTAGGCATAATCTAACCTCAAATGTTCCTTTATAACCTCAACAAGTTTCGCTTCTCTATTCCTTACCGTTGTGGGGAAAATAATTTTTCTCCTTATTTACATTTTCATCAAACGTCAAATCAGTAATTTTTAAAAATGTATATAAAACGAATTAATCACCCTAAAAGCTTATAATTAGGCATAATCTAACCTCAAACGTTCCTTTATAACCTCAAAAACTTTCGCATCTCTATTCCTTACCGTTGTGCAGAAAATAATTTTTTTCTTTAATTACATTTTCATCAAACGTCAAATCAGTGATTTTTAAAAATTTATATATAAAGAATTGCTCACCCTGGAAACTTATAATATGGCATAATCTAACCTCAAACGTTCCTTTATAACCTCAAAAAGGTTCGCTTCTCTATTCCTTACCGTTGTGGAGAAAATAATTTTTTTCGTTAATGACATTTTCATTAAACGTCAAATCAGTGATTTTAAAAAATGTATGTATAACGAATTGATCATCCCAGAAACTTATAATTTGGCATAAACTAACCTCAAACGGTCTTTTATAACCTCAAAAAGTTTCGCTTCTCTATTCCTTATCGTTGTGGAGAAAATAATTTTTTTCCTTAATTACATTTTCATCAAACGTCAAATCAGTAATTTTTAAAAGTGGATATATAACGAATTAATCATCCTAGAAACTTATAATTTGGCATAATCTAACCTCAAACGTTCTTTTATAACCTCAAAAAGTTTCGCTTCTCTATTCCTTATCGTTGTGGAGAAAATAAATTTTTTCCTTAATTACATTTTCATCAAACGTCAAATCAATATTTTTTAAAAATGTATATCTATCGAATTAATCAGCCCAAAAGCTTATAATTAGGCATAATCTAACCTCAGACGTTCCTTTATAACCTCAAAAAGTTTCGCTTTTCTATTCCTTACCGTTGTGGAGAAAATAATTTTTTTCCTTAATTACATTTTCACCAAACGTCAAATCAGTAATTTTAAAAAATTTATATATAACGAATTAATCACCCTAGAAGCTTATAGTTAGGCATAATCTAACCTCAAACGTTCCTTTATAACCTCAAAAAGTTTCGATTTTCTATTCCGCCCCGTTGTAGAGAAAATATTTTTTTTTCTTAATAACATTTTCATCAAACGTGAAATCACTGATTTTTAAAAATGTATATATAACGAATTAATCACCCTAAAAGCTTATAATTAGGCATAATCTAACCTCAGACGTTCCTTTATAACCTCAAAAAGTTTCGCTTTTCTATTCCTTACCGTTGTGGAGAAAATAATTTTTTTCCTTAATTACATTTTCACCAAACGTCAAATCAGTAATTTTTAAAAATTTATATATAACGAATTAATCACCCTAGAAGCTTATAGTTAGGCATAATCTAACCTCAAACGTTCCTTTATAACCTCAAAAACTTTCGATTTTCTATTCCGCCCCGTTGTAGAGAAAATATTTTTTTTTCTTAATAACATTTTCATCAAACGTCCAAATCACTGATTTTTAAAAATGTATATATAACGAATTAATCACCCTAAAAGCTTATAATTAGGCATAATCTAACCTGAAACGTTCCTTTATAACCTCAAAAAGATTCGCTTCTCTATTCCTTACCGTTATGGAGAAAATAATTTTTTTCTTTAATCACATTTTCATCAAACGTCGAATCAGTAATTTTAAAAAGTGTATATATAACGAATTAATCACCCTAAAAGCTTATAATTAGGCATAATCTAACCTCAAACGTTCCTTTATAACCTCAAAAAGTTTCGCTTCTCTATTCCTTATCGTTGTGGAGAAAATAATTTTGTTCGTTAATTACGTTTTCATCAAACATCAAATCACTGATTTTTTAATGTATATATTACGAATTAATCTCTCTAGAAGCTTATAATTTGGCATAATCTAAACTCAAACGTTCCTTTATAACCTCAAAATGTTTCGCTTCTCTATTTCTTACCGTTGTGGAGAAAATGATTTTTTTCTTTAATTAAATTTTCATCAAACGTCAAATCAGTAATTTTTAAAAATGTATGTACGTATAACGAATTAATCAAAAGCTTATAATTAGGCATAATCTAACCTCAAACGTTCCTTTATAACCTCAAAAAGTTTCGTTTCTCTATTCTTTACCGTTGTGGAGAAAATAATTTTTTTCCTTAATTACATTTTCATCAAACGTCAAATTAATATTTTAAAAAAATGTATATATATCGAATTAATCAACCTAAAAGCTTATAATTAGGCATAATCTAACCTCAAATGTTTCTTTATAACCTCAAAAAGTTTCGCTTCTCTATTCCTTATCGTTGTGGAGAAAATAATTTTTTTCCTTAATCACATTTTCTTCAAACGTCAAATCAGTGATTTTTTTAAATGTATATATAACGAATTAATCAATCTAAAAGCTTATAATTAAGCATAATTTAACCTCAAATGTTGCTTTATAAACTCAAAAACTTTCGCTTCTCTATTCCTTATCGTTGTGGAGAAAAAAATTTTTTTCGTTAATTACATTTTCACCAAACGTCAAATCAGTAATTTTTAAAAGTGTATATATAACGAATTAATCATCCTAAAAGCTTATAATTAGGCATAATCTAACCTCAAACGTTCCTTTATAACCTCAAAAAGTTTCGCTTCTCTATTCCTTACCGTTGTGGAGAAAATATTTTTTTTCCTTAATTACATTTTCATCAAACGTCAAATCAATATTTTAAAAAAATGTATATATATCGAATTAATCAGCCTAAAAGCTTATAATTAGGCATAATCTAACCTCAAAGGTTCCTTTATAATCTCAAAAAGTTTCGCTTCTCTATTCTTTACCGTTGTAGAAAAAATAATATTTTTCCTTAATTACATTTTCATCAAATGTTAAATCAGTAATTTTTAAAAATGTATATATAACGAATTTATCACCCTAAGAGCTTACAATTAGGCATAATCTAACCTCAAATGTTCCTTTATAACTTCAAAAAGTTTCGCTTCTCTATTCCTTACCGTTATGGAGAAAGTATTTTTTTTCCTTAATCACATTATCTTCAAATGTCAAATCAATGATTTTTAAAAATTTATATATAACGAATCGATCACCCTAGAAACTTATAATTTGGCATAATCTAACCTCAAACGTTCCTTTATAACCTCAAAAAGTTTCGCTTCTCTATTCCTTACCGTTATGAAGAAAATAATTTTTTTCCTTTATCACATTTTCGTCAAATGTCAAATCAATGATATTTAAAAATTTATATGTATATAACGAATTGATTATCCTAGAAACATATAATTGGGCATAATCTAACCTCAAACGTTCCTTTATAACCTCAAAAAGTTTCACTTCTTAATCTCAAGCCGTTTTGAAGAAAACATTTTTTATATTTTGTTCCATCATTAAAATTACAAACCAAGAACTTGAAAATGATTACAGTTAATCAGTTTGTGCTTACACGTAGCCTCGGGGGAAGAAAGTTTTCATACACAAAAACCTAACCAGTACCCAAATATCATTATCCCCTACTTTGTACAATACAGGAAATATTACGTAATCGAAAAGACGAAATCATCAAGTTTTGTATCAATTTTGGAAAAATTAATTTTTTCTTCAACGAATTCTAATGACTATGCCTACGTGCGAGTGTTATTATGTAATAACAAGGAGGTACTTGGAAGAAAAGTGCTTCTGTCTTATTATTATTATCGTTGAGTATTTTGAACTATTTCAAAAAGGATGTTGGAAAATACGAGGACTAATGACATCACTTAAGTAGATATAATGTTGACATTACATAACGTGTATCAATAATGTCAATACGTCGAGATTGTACAGTCTCGTTTTTGATGTATAATTAAATTAAAATCGTCTCTGTTTAGAAATAACACGAAAAAATTCCATTGACAGTAGTTCTTTGATATTTCAGTTAATTTATGGTAAGAAAATGTGTGCACAATGACGTGAACGATTGACATTTACAAATTAGATAAGAATTTTGCTTAAATTGGTCACGATTTTTTTTTGTTTCATTTACAAAAATTACATAACACTGATTATTTGGTACTATATAAATATATACTATATTATATATATTTAAATAGAAGAAATATTTAATTTTTATTGAATATTCTTAATCTTCATTAAAAATCCTTTAAAATGACACCAAACACGATGGGGTTATCTCAAAAGATGTCCAAAATATAACCGAAAATAACCCAAAAAAAAATTGACGATCGCCATCTTAAAATCATCGTAACTCAGTTGTTTTTAAAAATAATAATGGCGTGTTTGGTGTCGTTTCAAAGGATTTTTCGTATAGATTGAGAATTTTTAATAAAAAAAGTGAAAATTGAAGATTTTTTTTCTCGAAATTTGCTTTCTTGAGATTAAATCGAAATAATTCTTTGAACTTGATGGTTTTGGCCACGAAATAAGAATTATTTTCGGGGGGAATTCTTTTCGAACAACTTTCGCCATCGTTTTTAAGCAAGGTCGTCGCTGAGTGGTATTCCGGTTGAAAACGTGGCCATCGGTTCGATGTGCTTCTTAGTTTCGTGCATTTGCTCGTCCGAACAACATCGCCAAAGTCGAATTTGAATTTGCAAAGAAAACAAAAATCATGCTTTTTCGATTATTAATTATTTTTTCGAATTCTGTGTTATTTTTCGGCTGTGTAATCGGTGCTATTTCGCCATTAAACAATAATAATAATAATAATAACAGAAAAGAATCCACCAACATTGGATTATTAGGTTAAAAATAATAATTTGTGGATTTTTATATATTTTTTTTTCTTTTAATTTTATTTTGTTTATAGCTGATTGCCCGAATTGTGTAGACGAAAACTCACAAAATCCAACGAATAGATGGACGATGCCTTTGTTGAAACTGGGGGAGAAAAAGTATTATTTAGGAATTTTTTTCAAGGTAAGAAACTTTATTAAATGAATAATAATGAATGAGATCATTGTTTTGAACAGAACAAAAGTAGTTATTTTATTGCAATTAATTTATTAAGATTTAATGTCACGGAAGTATCTCGATTGTCTTCACGGTTACTTAGTCCTTGGCGCAAAACGGTATTGGGACCGTCATAGTACCTTCTATGCACCACTTTCTATGGCCACGCAATGCATTCCGAGCATCAGATATTCGATACTCTACTTAAATAAATGTTTGAAAGTTGTGTTGCGAGAATTTTATATGGTTTGATTACATAAACAATTTTTCTAATAATTAATTTTTAACACAAACTTTTTTTCACATGTTTATGGCACCTTTTGAACTCATTTTCAAATACATCTTGATTCATAATAAATTTTTTATGTAAATCTCTACAATTAATAAGCCATTTATACAGTTCTCACGTTTTAATACAAATCAACAACGCCATACAATCTCAACAGTTAGAAATGCATTTGAAAATCAATCGACTACTAAATATTTATAAATTTCGGTAAAAAGACAACGTTTATGTTGTACCGCTAAGCACAGCAACAGCTATTTCATAGTTATATAACCGATTTATATTCAATTATTATTAATTAAATGTAACTTGAAATAGAATCTTGCACGTTTTTCATTTCTAATTTGTTTCAGCTTTTAAACAATATTTCTTCGAATCATTTACATCTTTTTATACTTATTACACATCATTACAAAGAGGATATTTTAAGCTTCAATTTAAGATATAAATCATCTTATAACTCCCACAATTAAAGCAGATATGATTTTTGGAAATTGAGTAAATTAAAATTGATTCAACTTTAATTCTTTGTATAACATTTTCTTCAAACGATCGTATCTCCGAAATTTTTATATCTATCTATATATTTATGATATATCGTTTTAAAGAGAATACTTTAAGCTTTAATTTAAAGTATGGATCATTTTATAACTCCTACAATTAAAGCAGATATGATTTTTTGAAATTGAGTTAATTAAAATTGATTCAACCTTACTGCTTTGTACAGCATTTTTTTTTTAAATGATCGTATCTCCGAAAATTTATATATTTATCTATATATTTATTATATATCATTTTAAAGCGAATACTTTAAGCTTTAATTTAAAGTATAAATCATTTTATAACTCCCACAATTAAAGCAGATGTGATTTCTTGAAATTGAGTTAATTAAAATTGATTCAACCTTACTTCTTTGGACAACATTTTCTTAAAATGATCGTATCTCCGAAATTTTTATATTTACATATATATCTATTATATATCATTTTAAAGAGAATACTTTAAGCTTTAATTTAAAGTATGAATCGTTTTATAACTCCCACAATTAAAGCAGATATGATTTTTTGAAATTGAGTTCATTAAAATTGATTCAACCTTACTTCTTTGTATAGCATTTTCTTAAAATGATCGTATCTCCGAAATTGTTATATCTATATATATATTTATTATACATCGTTTTAAAGAAAATACTTTAAGCTTTAATTTAATGTATAAATCATTTTATAACCCCCACAATTAAAGCAGATATGATTTTTTGAATTTGAGTTAATTCAAAATTTATTCAACTCAACCCTTTGTGCAACAATTTCTTAAAATCACCGTATCTCCAAAATTTTTATATCTATCTATATATTTATTATATATCATTTTAAAGAGAATACTTTAAGCTTTAATTTAAAGTATAAATCATTTTATGACTCCCACAATTAAAGCAGACATGAATTTTTGAAAATGAGTTAATTAAAATTGATTCAACCTTACTTCTTTGTACAGCATTTCCTTAAAATGATCGTATCTCCAAATTTTTTATATCTACCTATATATTTATTATATACTATGTTAAAGCGAATACTTTAAGCTTTAATTTAAAGTATAAATCATTTTACAACTTCCACAATTANTTTATTATATATCATTTTAAAGAGAACACTTTAAGCTTTAATTTAAAGTATGAATCATTTTATAACTCCCACAATTAAAGCAGATATGATTTTTTAAAATAGAATTAATTAAAATTGATTCAACCTTACTTCTTTGTATAACATTTTCTTAAAATGATCGTATCTCCGAAATTTTTATATCTATCTATATATTTATGATATATCATTTTAAAGAGAATACTTTAAGCTTTAATTTAAAGTATGTATCATTTTCTAACTCCCACAATTAAAACAGATATAATTTTTTGAATTTAAGTTAGTTCAAAATTTATTTAACTCAACCCTTTGTGGAACATTTTCTTAAAATCACCGTATCTCTAAAATTTTTATATCTATCTATATATTTATTATATATCCTTTTAAAGAGAATACTTTAAGCTTTAATTTAAAGTATGAATCATTTTATAACTCCCACAATTAAAGCAGATATGATTTTTTGAAATTGAGTTAATTAAAATTGATTTAACTCAACCCTTTGTGCAACCTTTTTGTAAAATCACCGTATCTCCAAAATTTTTATATCTAACTATATATTTATTATATATCGTTTTAAAGAGAATACTTTAAGCTTTAATTTAAAGTATGAATCATTTTATAACTTCCACAATTAAAGCAGATATGATTTTTTGAATTTGACTTAGTTCAAAATTTATTCTACTCAACCCATATTTTTTTAAAATGATCGTATCTCCGAAATTTTTATATCTACCTATATATTTATTGTACATCATTTTAAAGAGAATACTTTAAGCTTTAATTTAAAGTATAAATCATTGTATAACCCCCACAATTAAAGCAGATATGATTTTTTGAATTTGAGTTAGTTCAAAATTTATTTAACTCAACCCTTTTTGCAACATTTTCTTAAAATCACTGTATCTCCGAAATTTTTATATCTATCTATATATTTATTATATATCATTAAATCATTTTACAACTTCCACAATTAAGGCAGATATGATTTTTTGAAAGAATACTTTAAGCTTTGATTTAAAGTATGAATCATTTTATAACTCCCACAATTAAAGCAGATATAATTTTTTGAATTTGAGTTAGTTCAAAATTTATTCTACTCAACCCATATTTTTTTAAAATAATCGTATCTCCGAAATTTTTATATCTATCTATATATTTATTATATATCATTTTAAACAGAATACTTTAATCTTTAATTTAAAGTAAGAATCATTTTATATCTCCCACAATTAAAGCAGATATGATTTTTTAAAATTGAATTAATTAAAATTGATTCAACCTTACTTCTTTCTACAACATTTTCTTAAAATGATCGTATCTCCGAAATTTTTATATCCATCTATATATTTATCATATATCATTTTAAAGAGATCAGTTTAAGCTTTAATTTAAAGTATAAATCATTTTATAACTCCCACAATTAAAGCAGATATGATTTTTTGAAAATGAGTAATTAAAATTAATTCAACCTTACTTCTTTGGACAACATTTTCTTAAAACGATCGTATCTCCGAAATTTTTATATCTATCTATATATTCATTATATATCGTTTTAAAGAGAATACTTTAAGCTTTAATTTAAAGTATAAATCATTTTATAACTCCCCCAAGTAAAGCAAATATGACTTTTTGAAAATTGATTCAACCTTACTTCTTTGGACAACATTTTCTTAAAACGATCGTATCTCCGAAATTTTTATATCTATCTATATATTTATTATATACCATTTTAAAGAGAACACTTTAAACTTTAATTTAAAGTATGAATCATTTTATAACTCCCACAATTAAAGCAGATATGATTTTTGAAATTGAGTTAATTAAAATTGATTCAACCTTACTTCTTTGTACAGCATTTTCTTAAAATGATCGTATCTCCGAAATTTTTATATCTACCTATATATTTATTATATATCGTTTTAAAGAGAACACTTTAAGCTTTAATTTAAAGTATGAATCATTTTAAAACTCCCACAATTAAAGTAGATATGATTTTTTGAAGTTGAGTTAATTTAAATTGATTCAACCTTACCTCTTTGTACAACATTTTCTTAAAATGATCGTATCTCCGAAATTTTTGTATCTATCTATATATTTATTATATATCATTTTAAAGAGAATACTTTAAGCTTTAATTTAAACTATGAATCATTTTATAGCTTCCACAATTAAAGCAGATATGATTTTTTGAAATTGAGTTAATTAAAATTGATTCAACCTTACCACTTTGTATAACATTTTCTTAAAATAATCGTATCTCCGAAATTTTTATATCTATCTATATATTTATTATATATCATTTTAAATAGAATACTTTAAGCTTTAATTTAAAGTATGAATCATTTTATAACTCCCACAATTAAAGCAGATATGATTTCTTGAAGTTGAGTTAATTAAAATTGATTCAACTTTACCTCTTTGGACAACATTTTCTTAAAATGATCGTATCTCCGAAATTTTAATATCTATCTGTATATTTATTATATATCATTTTAAACAGAATACTTTAAGCGTTAATTTAAAGTATGAATCATTTTATAACTCCCACAATTAAAGCAGATATGATTTTTTGAAGTTGAGTTAATTAAAATTGATTCAACCTTACTTCTTTGTATAACATTTTCTTAAAATGATCGTATCTCCGAAATTTTTATATCTATCTATATATTTATTATATATCATTTTAAAGAGAACACTTTAAGCTTTAATTTAAAGTATGAATCATTTTATAACTCCCACAATTAAAGCAGATATGATTTTTTGAAATTGAGTTAATTAAAATTGATTCAACCTTACTTCTTTGTATAACATTTTCTTAAAATGATCGTATCTCCGAAATTTTTATATCTATCTATATATTTATTATATATCATTTTAGAGAGAACACTTTAAGCTTTAATTTAAAGTATGAATCATTTTATAACTCCCACAATGAAAGCAGATATGATTTTTTGAAATTGAGTTAATTAAAATTGATTCAACCTTACTTCTTTTTACAGCATTTTCTTAAAACGATCGTATCTCCGAAATTTTTATATCTACCT